TCTCCTCCTGCCTCCTTATCTACTCGTCCCAGGCTTTTCGCATCCTCCCCCTCTTCTCTTCCCTCCTGCTCCCTCTTCCTCCTTCCTCTTTCTCCTTCTTCTTCCTCCTTCTCCTCCTCCCACTCCTCCCACCTACGCGACGGATTATGGGAAACGTCCCATAATGCAACGCGCGCGTCACTGCGGTGCATTATGGGATATTTCTCATAATGCACCATGCGGTTATGCCGACGGCGACGCCGTTCAAGCCGGAAATGGGTGCCTAGGAGCTGCGCTTTAGAAAAGGTGGAATGGATATAAATTAATAGAAGAGGAAGATGTAATAAAACAGGATGTAGTCCAGCGGTCAGTTCGCCCTTCTTTTTTCCTGTCTCCCTCCTTCCTTTGTTCAGCTGTTTCACCTAAGAAGATCCTGCGCATTGTTCTTTCTTTGCCTGTTGTGAAAAGTCAGATCTTCAGAACTGTTCACGATTACAATAAAGCCAACTATGAAGCAATCAAAAATGAATTAGCAACTTTCTACAACACCTTTGATTCCAAATTTTTACGAAGATCTGTAGAATAAAATTAGGTTCTTTTAAAAAATAAGATTATTGACCTGGTGCAAACATATGTGCCCACTATATGAATTTGCACTGACTCACCCAACCCATGGTATTATGAAACTTGAAGCTCATTAAGTGACAATAAAAAACATCTTTTCTCAAATGTAAAGCGAACTAACTTATCACATGCTTGGGACTCTTGCTACGCTGCATTTGGAAACAATACAAAAAACCTTAGATCATCAAAATAAAATTTTTTTTTCTGAAGACTTGTTGACATTTGTGCGCAATAATCAACAAAATTTTGGAAACTTGTGTCACCCGAAACCACTCCCAGGACCATAAATCTGAACGACCTCAACGGTGGACCAGTCGGGGAGAGTGACTGCCCTGAAGTCTTGAATGACTACTTTTCTTCCGTATTTACAAACAAACCCCCACGTACTGTAAAACCCTTTATTTTTGTGGTCCCTATTTTTTGTGAATTGGTCACAGAGGACATAATCGTGGCCACCAGATTTCGCAAATTCCAGACACGTGCACTTAAACTCCTGAGGACCGAAATTTTTGCGTGCCCTTAATTTTTGCAAATTTTTCAATTCGTGGAAATTAATTAAGGTTTTTACAATAACATTCCAACCCTACATGATGAGCGTTATGATCTTATGCCACCAATTACTGTTAACTCAACCGGAATAATTAAACTTATTGAGAAACTTAAACTTTCATGCGCACCAGACCCTGACAATATCCATGCAGTGGCGTACCAACTTGTTTTTGAGTGGGGGGGCAAACCAGCACCTCCTCCTCTCCCCCCCCCCCAAACCGGAAAGGGGGTGCCCTTGGTATCCCTTGGGCACCGCCGGCCAGTGTTTGCCCTGCCCACTGTCAACGGTTTTAGGGAGGGGGGGGGGGGGCAAAACACATGCCTTGCCCCCCCCCACTCTGAGAACTGGGGGGCAAGCGCCCCCCTTGCTCCCCCGGTTGGTACGCCCATGTATACATGCAAAAATTCTTAAAAATACTACTGCTATTTTCAGCGAACTTCTTAATCTCCTCTTCAACCAGTCACTTTCTGAAAGCTGTCTACCTCGTCCTAGCGCTATTTGTAATTTAGTACCTTCTGATTGAAAGATCTGCAGGGCTGTCTCAATCTACACGCAGGGAATTCGGCCTTCAGCCTCTATCGTCCCATCTTCTGAACCTCCATATCGTCTAAACTTCTAGAGCATATTTTGTATTCGCACATTGCGGCACACTTGTCTATGAACAATTTTCTCTTCAGACTTCCACAGGGGTTTATCTTGCGAGACTTAGCTGTGCGAATTTGTTTCACGAATTAGATACTAACCTTGAATGTGATGCACAATCTGATGCCTTATTTCTGGACTTCTCAAAAGACTTCCACCGTGTTCGTCATCAACATCTTCTCTCCAAGCTATCGCCTCTACAATTAGACGCCTTGGTACTTTCCTGGATGTCTCATTTTCTCGCATCTCGTGTTCAACACACAATCATCTGCAGGGTTCTATTCTTGGCCCCCTGCTTTTCTTAATATTAATTGGCGATCTTCCGTGTAGAATTTCCTCTAAAATACGGCTTTTGCAGATGATTGTGTCATATATAACTAGATTTCCTCAGTAATTGACTACTATTAACTTCAGTGTGATATAGAGAAAATTGGCCACTGGTCCGGAAAATGGTTAATGTCGCTAAATAAATTCAAGTGCAAATTATTTCAATTCACCAGAAAACAATCCTTGAGAGCATATCAGTATACCATAAACAACAAAGTGATTGAACCCGTTTCCATGTACAAATATCTTGGTGTCAGATTAACTTGTAATCTTTCTTGGAAAACCCATATTGAAAGCATTTCTGCAGAAGCATTCAAGACTTGGATTCATCAGACAAACCCTACGAGATGCCCCTCCACATGTTCGAAAAATGGCTTAGGAAACTTACGTTATGCTGCCGCTATTTGGAACCCCCATCAATCGTACCTTGTCGACATATGAGTGCACACCGAACCACTCATTTCACCTTATCATCATACAATCATTTCGCCACTGAAATAAACTCGGACTAACCCCTTTGCACCGCCAAAGGAAACTCTCCTGACCTTGCCTTCTTCACAAATTTTATTATCACTGCTCAGACCTAAAGGACTTTTATTTACTATCACCTCCAGAAAGAATATCTTCCCACCTAGACAACTCCTGTGCTATCAAACAAATTTTTGGAAAGACCAATGCTTTTAATGAATCTTTTCTTCCCCTTGCCATTTCCGAATGGAACCAGCTACCATCATCTATAGTTACCATCAGTGACTCAACAGTGTTCCTAAATGCTCTTCAAATCCATGTTGTGCGAGTGCTTTGTGCTATTCTACATTATTGCATTTATTTGTTTTATTGTATTGAACTTATTACACAAAGGGGGGGGGGGCCCTTGTTTAATGTCCTAACTGGGCGTTTAAGGTGCAAATAAATGAAATGAAATGAAAGTATCATTTCTTTTTGTCTAAGTTAGAGTATAAATAGCAAGTTCTCGGTGTTGGCGCTGGCTAGAATTAGAAATCCACAATGATATGTCAACAACCTTGGGGTAATCTGCTGCTTCATATAATATTGTACAAATATGATGTTGGGAATTTAAATGTGGGAAAACATTGCACATGGTTGAAAAAAAAACCGAGACTGCGGGTAAAGGACACAACACTAAAAAGTCTCTACATAGTGTGAAGATGAACATGGCAGTGCCAACACAGAAAAAAAACTTCCATAAAAATTGATAATAAAGAGATTGACGACTGACCATGAGGGATACAGTACAAGTGTCTGATACTAGAGGCCAACACAGGTACAAACCAGCCCGCCAGGGTAGTTCTGTTTTGTTGGAGCACAAGGGGTGGTATTTGTCGTTGTAGCGTAAAGATGCCTTACAAATCTAGAATTCGTACACAGCCTTCTTCTAATTTATGGGATATGATAGACAAGGTACCTCTTGAGTTACAGTCCAACGCCTGTATAACGAAGCGTGTGGGAACGCGATAAATCTTCGTTATACATGTCACTTCATTATATCCGTCGCACACTTTAATGACCCCAATAAAGCAGATACACAGGCTATATCGTAGTAGAAGCGTTCGTTGTAGCGGCGTTTGACTGTATTATTTTTCGGGACCATTATTGAAACTACATATTCTGATCAGCTGTACTTTCGCAGTGTGTCGTTAAGTGCACTTCCCTTCTACACACAATGTTTGACGGCAATGCACAATTTAATGTTTTACTGCTGCCAGTGTGCTGCAGCACACTGACAGTATGAAAAGCAATTTTGAACATGATGCCTCATTGTGTTGATCACATGCATTTTGCTCGGGCAATATTTTATATATCATAATTAAGAAATAAAACCTTGAGACAAGGAAACAAAAAAGGACATACACACAACATTGTATATATGTCCGTTATACTTTGCATTGGATTGGGTTGTGGTGGCTTAACCCTCCATGTCGGGTGATTGCAACAAAAAAACTGCATCTATCCAAAAAAAAAGTGAAAGCCGTTTACAACTCCCTGTAACGTCGAATTGGAGCGCAGCTCTTGAGGAGGAGGATGGAAGGGTACTGAGGGGAGGGTAGACCCCTCCTCCTCCTCCTTCTCCTCCGCCTCCCCTCATTCTTTAATATGCTCCGGGGGGTCACCTGACCTCGGGGGGAGGGGGTCACGTGACCTCGGGGGGGGGGGGGGGTCACGTGACTTCAGGGAGGGGGGCCACGTGACCTGGGGGGGCCACGTGATCTCGGGGGGGGGGGGGGGGGGGGTCACGTGACCTCGGGAGGTCACGTGACCTTGGGAGGATCACGTGACCTTGGGGGGTCACGTGACCTTGGGGGGTCACGTGTCCTGGGGGTCACGTGACCTTGGGGTGACCTTGGTTACGCCGACGCCGCTCAAGCCCAAAACGGGCCCCTAAGAGCTGCGCTCCAAAAAAGTGAGAAGAATACAAATAGTTAAAGTATGATTGATGTGAACCGCCTCCCAGCGTTCCCCCTTCACTGTCTTTTCCCTCAAGTTCTCCGACCCGAGTTTCAATCTGTTCTAACCCAATCTGTACAGCTGAACCCAATCGTATTGAACGTGGGTATATCGAATTATTGCCTATATCAAACCCTTGCAGAATTTTGATAAAAATTCTATGCAGTTTGAACTTTTTATATCGAATGTGACCGGGCTCATAATGCATATATAACACTCTCTCATGCCGGATTATGCACGCTCCAGAGACATGCGGCAGGCCTCCTCACAATATGCCAATGTACGGCGTTGGTGCGACAAGCACTCATAACTGTAGGGCACTGCGGTGTTGCCGATCCCCATGTCCCCATCACCGGCTGCCCGCCACCCGGCGGCTCGGTCGGTTATTTTCGCTTCTCTCTTCCCAATCGTGATGGCTGCCTGTGTGCAGAAACAGACGGTGACGATGTCCGTTTCGTTCTATGTCGGTCAGCTCTGCCGTAGTTCCCATGATGTTGTCGATAGCGACGTGACGGAAGCCGCGGCGGAGCTGACCAGCGTCGAGATCACCAACGATGTTGTTCGAGAGCGGCCCGCTGAAAGCCATGAGCCTAGTACCGCAGATGCCAAGCACTCTGTACTGCTTCTGAGCTTGAGCGAAGTCGTCGTAGCCGTAGCTCTTCTACACTGCTACTGCAGTGCCCTCGAGGGTGGCGGACTTGCATTGTCGGCTGTTCAGATATCGTAGAGCAGGCCATTACCAGGTACACAACGCGTTTAAAAGAACAGGCTCCACTTACGCGGTTCTTTTCACCCCAGATAATTATTGTTATTTTTTCGAGAAAATGTTCTGCTCTATGGTGAAATGGAGGCCGGTAAGAGCTGTGAGTTAGCTTGTGACTGTGTCGGTTGCATTGCTCTTACGTGCGTTTTTTGATTTTTTTTTTATACTGAATTTTCGCTTTGTCAAACTAGTTTACTATATTGGTGCTGTTCGATATAAGTAGGCTTGACTGTATTATCATTTGAATGTGTATTGGGAGCTGTTAAGGGTAGCTTGATGAGATAAGCAAATCCGCTTAAAGGGGTACTCCGGCAATTTTTTGAGCAACCCCACCAAACTATATTTTCGAAATTGCCATCTTTTATTCTTTCTGGTATGTTATTTAGTACCGCGAAATTCAAAATAGTTATTGTGTAATTGGCAAATGAAAATGACGCCAAAACCAAGATTCGAATATACCCGCGCTTTTCATTGTGGTGACGTCCCATCACGGGACGTCAAGGCTTGCGGTTCGAGCGGGCTGTCTTAGTGTTTCGTGCTGCTGCACGGGAGCTGGGGCGACCCTCCAAAGCATTCATTTGACGCCATGAAACTGTCTGTAATCAGTTGGGAACAAAGTGTACAGCCCAAAGAGTGAACCCCGGCCTTCCCATGACGTCTCTATTTCAATGTTACCAGTAGAGCTTTTCACTTTGAAAAACACGATGATGACCAAAATTGTAAATTCTAAAACTTTGCAAAAAAAAAAGTTTTTTTGGCCAAATATCTGGGTTACTATTTTAGCGATGGTTGTTGGTGTGTTTAGCAAGTTTTTAGGCAAATCGGGGACTATGAAGAAAATGCTGGAGTACACCTTTATTGGTTGCGATGGCTAGAAACGGAACAAGTCCCTCACTACATGCGTTCCCTCAGGTGTTGGGAGAGGAGGAGATTGACGGGGTGCTGTCTCCAGTGCTTGGTTAGGCCTCGAGCGTGCATGCGCAGCCCAAGCAAGGCGAAATGCAAAGAGAGCATGCTGAAGGCATTTGAAAGAGATGCCATTGTCGTCGGTAACTAGAGGCACCGACATGTGTATCCCGTGCGGTTTGGCTTGTTTCTGTTCCAGACTCTTTCGTGTAGAACCGGTGCAGCCGACGATCCTGTGCGCCCTCTCAACACCAAAGAAGGGGTGCGTCCGTCGTCGAGTTTCACCATCCACGTGGATGTTGCTTCGCAAGGAGCTGATGCGTCGGCGGGGCCGCGCCTTCGGAAGAGGCGGCTCGCCGATCCGTCGACCGGCACGCTTCCGAAGGGCCCACGTCGGAGCCAGTTGCAGGTTAGTTTTTGCAACTAACGGAAGTAGTGAAAGGGCTACCTGTCCTACGAAATTGGAATGGGGCCAGTCAACACGCCTGCAAGAGGGAGAAGTCCAGCAGTTTTTTGGGCTGCCCAACTAAACACAGGCTCGGAGTATCCGGGCTTTACCCTTCCCAGCGTGCTATTTATTATCTTTAAATTCGTAGCAGCTATTGAAAAAACGGCTAATGCCAAAGCCAACTTTAAAATATTCTTGAGCTCTCCAGTGGGGTGACGTCGCACATTGTATAACTTGCAAGTCCAATAGGCAGTCTGGAAAACAGTATTTTGCACTTTTTTGTTTTGATTTCTGGCATTAGTTTTTACAGCATTTTTTCGCACCTCCACCTTCTTGTAATCTGTCGGGAACAAGCTGTGCTGCCCTCGTATATCAGAAGTCACATTTTCAGTATTGCCAGCAGAGCCTGTCGGTCTCTCGCACCAAACTTGAAAATGCAGTAGCTTCGTGGAAAAAAATGATTGTGACTCGTAATTTGGGTTACTTGTCCGGATGTCTCTATTAACGTGTTCAACCAATTTTGAGGCAATTTGGTGACTATCGAAATTGCAGCGTGATGGTGGAACCAAAATTCTACCATTCCTGCGGCGTGTTAGATTATTAACAGGGTTCCGTGTTGCCAAGGTATATATTTCTTCGAGTTCGGGGGTGTTATTTTCTCCCACAGATTCAATGTCACTTTTCTGTGTCTGACAAAAAAGAAAAGAAAAAAAAAAAAAACCTAGTTTATTTCGGCTTATTTTGAATAAAATAGGACACACAAATGGGATTCCCTCGGGGCAGATGCACATGACCCAAATACTTCGAAAATGTCCCGATGTGGTTTCCAAGAAAGAAGCAGCCTCCCCAGACAGTTCAAGATTAAAACTAGATTAAGATTTCCTTCTTATGAAGCTTGGCTTTTTCTCGTTCAAGGCAGCTTCAATTTGGGGGTTTTCTGTATTCCCCAATTTGGAGAAAACAATCTTGGGGTTTAATCATTGGGGTTTATTGGTATTTACCAAAAAGGCAAAACCCTAGTTATGAAAAAAAGGGCAGTTTGGTTTTGGCAATTAATTCTCACCCAAGAGGCACTAGAATGCAACAGCACTACTAGGTAGATTTCATCCAAGCCATTCAAGCTAAGCTGCTATGCCATTCAAGCTAAGTTTAGCTAAGACATGCCATTCAAGCTAAGTTTAGCTAAGACATGCCATTCAAGCTAAGTTTAGTGAGATTTCTTTTAGACGATTTGCACGCATATTCGATGAAGGGTTCCAGTTTGTTGTGGAATCACATTGCTGGCAATTGAAGTGTGGTTCTGTGACACTATTACCTTTCATAAATAACATTCCTCTTCGCTTTGTAAACTGTCAAAGTGTTTTAAATAAATCGATGATCTTGCTGGTCTGGATCACTTAGCAATCCAGACCTTGTTCAAACTGAGTTGTGGCTTGGTGCATCCTTTCTTAAAGGGGCACTAAGGAGGTTTCTGAGATCATCTTTCTATGGTCATAACTCAATCTACAGCCTCCAAACATTCTAAGATACCTAAGATTAGATTCATACATGTCCAATTTTTCTGTTAAAAACAAGATCAAAGATTGAGGCATGCCCTGCTCCTGCGATTCAGTGCAGAAACTAGAGGGCACTGTCGGACATGTGACAGCCTATAGCAATTGATCTATTGCTGCTTGCGGTTCACTTACATTCATCAGTGCTTCTCTTGGTAGAATATCCAATTGTGGGCTTGTTTCATGGGTCTCCACTGACATGCTCTACTGGGTGTTTGCAAGTGCTATTCAGTCGTAAGAAAATATTTTATAAATAAGTCCATGAATGGCATGCAATGAAACGTCTAGGTGGTGCCTTAATCATACCCAAATTTTGTGAGTGCAGATTTCTTTGTGTAACCCTTCCAGTTGCGAACGGCGACTACAACTTACTATCAACTAGATGAGCAAATGGGCAGATGAAAATGGTTTTAAGTCTTCTCTCCATTGCGCCGGGGATTGTATTTGGACTCTGCCTTGCATCTAAATAACATTGACATATCCGTTAAACAAGAGCACAAATTTCTTGGTGTAATCTTTGACAAGAAGACTTTTGTGCCCCATTTGAAGGAGTTAAAACGCAAGGGTCATTACTACCCCAACAATGTTTCTTTTTTTTTTTTTTGCCAGGTGGTTTATTATGGTGTCAGGAGAATGCCCAATCAACGGTAAAGTGGTATGCTGGGCGAGTTAGTACTGGTTGAACATGATGAAAAAATAGCGCATAAAAAGGCAAGGACAGGAACGGAACTCAGAAGACAGACGAGCGCTAAATCACAACTCAACTGTATTGTAAGTTGGAACAAAGAAAGAAGCAGGCACATGCGGCAGGCTCGAGGAAAATAACACTGGCACCAGAGGCGCAGCGAGGACATCAGACGCATTCACCAGATAAAGTAAACACGGAATCCCAACAAGCCAAGTTGGGGTTCCAGGGAATAAGAAAGCAGATAGATTGGCTGCATCTGCCAAGAATTCCTTAATAACATTATGTGTTGCTTACCCCACCAAGACCTGAAACTGCTTTTGAGGAAATCTCTTTTGAGGTCATGGCAGTTAGAGAGTCGTGTGACATTGAACTTCGTTGTGAAAGAGTTGAAAGAGTCGTGTGACGTTGAACTTTGTTACGTTGACAGTGAATGCATGTACTCCCGCACAACGGTGTTCACGCATGCCAGACGAGCCGAAAGCCAACAAGTCGCTGGGTGTCCCGTATACCAGGATGGGCCATAGAATGTATGGCATTGAACACCTTACGGCAGATCAAGAAAGGAACAAACGGGCGGGGGTGGCGGGTCGACACATCGTAGACAACTGTGTCAAAAGAACCGTGTCTATGGACATGTTCAAGAATAAGGGTCTTCGTAGGCGTTGGAGCTTGCTTACCTTCTTGCTGAGCTGCTGCCAGTTCCTGGTACGGAAACCGGGTTTAGTCGGATATGCAGAGGTTGATGCCTAGTGGAGAGAGTGCATCTGCAACGGCACTGTCACAGCCCTTGACAAAGTGAATGTCGGTAGTGTATTGGGATATATACGGCACTTGTTGGACTTCTCATGGTATATGTGCTGTTTGATGTTAAGGCATAAAATTGGTGGACTTGAATTAAATGTTGGAAGTGTCATATGGCGAGGTAAATAGCCAGTAGTTCCCGGCCAGAAGAGCGAGTTTCAGTAGTTGAAAGAGTCTTGGAAAAGAATGTGAGGGGATGCCAGGTGTTCCGGACGAGTTGCTGGAGAACGGCACTGACTGCAGCATCCAAGGCGTCTAGCAGCATCTAGGATGCAACAGCATGCATCTGCTTGCCGAATCCCTAGCAGCGGTGTCGCTTTTGGCTTCGGGTTTTGTAGCAGTTGGTACAAAGGCTGGGAGATAGTGAGGGACAAACCGACGGTAAAAGTTGACGAGACCCAGAAACTCGCTCAAGTTTTGTAGCAGTGTGTGGACGTGGGAAATTGCGAATAACGGCCACCTTGTCAAATCCATGAGCATCTACATGGTGTCCGAGGAAATCTTTGTCGCCAACTCATACCTTGTTGCATTCCCAACGAGGCCGTATGCTGTTAGTCGTCCGAGTTCAAGGTGATTGGCATGCTCTTCAGGTGTGAAGCTGACGACCAGGATATCGCCCAGGTATGCCAAGCAGGAGGGTAACCCCCGTAGGACTTGGTCTACAAAGCGTTGGAAAGTTTGGGAGAAGACTGTTGCGCCGTGGAGAAAACCACCGAAATCCTGCAGCTGTGGTATAGGGAAGCAATTAAGAACCATGCCTGATTTAGTGCCTTATAATCGCTACGTGGTCGCCAGTCCCCTGTTTTCTTTGGTACCATGTGGAGCACCGAGGACCAGGGTCTCGAAGATGGCCGTATGTACTCGAGTTCTAATATGCTCCCAAACTCGTGCTTAGCCATCTGAAGCCACTCTGGCGGAAGGCGTCGTGGGCACAAGAGGGGAGGGTCTGTGGTTTTAACCCTTTAACCACTCAACCCGAGCTGTACTTGTCATGGAAGGTTGTACCAATATCGCCGATGACGAGTCACACTCGTCCAGTCAAAATCATGGTTTGCTTTCACTGCCAAACACGAGACAGGTTCGTCCATCGGCTTTAGTTTCAATTTTCAACACTGGAGGGCAGGAGAGGTTGCGCAAATATAGCGTGTTTTGGCCTTTGGTACATATCTAGCCTTGCAACAGTGATCAGAGATGGCAGCGCGCTTGAGTGATGCCGGTGACGGCCCTCGGAAACGGGCTCTCTCTTGCGGCAGTTTGAACAGTTCGAACAACTTCGATGAAGGCATCAAATTTGTCTTTGAAAGTGAGTCGGACATGACGATGACCTCAGTGATGAATTGGACGACGCGCTGGGTAGTGTTCGAGTGAGGCAATGCGTAAACGCTGAAAACCCGCCAGCCGCGCCTCCGAGGTTTCCGTTTTGTGCAGTGCCTGGGATTCTGCGGCAACCCACTGACGAAAAAGACATTCTCGGCTGGTTGAAGGTTTTTTTTTTTTTTCTTTTTTTGATTGGGACTTTTCCAACTTCATTGTGACAGAGACAAATCGCTATGCGGTTCCGCATTTCCCAGCGCGGGGTTCTTGATGGAAACCGGTGGACCGCGAAAAGATGATGGTGTTCCTTGCGCTAATAATTCTGCAAGGAATCATTACTTACGGAACTTTGTTAGTGCTACTACGAAGAAACATCTAGGCATTTGATCTTTTGTTATGGTGCGTATTTTCAAATAAATACTGCACATTTAAGCATGTATTATTCTCACTCTTACATGCACTGAGGGAAAGCTTCCATATAAATCAACATTTTCTTTTAAAATTTTCTGTTAATACCTATCAGAAACCAATCAAGTAATGTAATTGCAAAATCAGAACCAAATAAGAAAAAATATGTGCAAATAAAAAAATTTGGGAAAGTTTGT